TCGTAATTTAAAAGTATCAATTCTTCTTCGGTCTTCCTTATTCATTGTCCAGCTTTCACATGCATATGAGGTGATTGAAAACACCAAGGCTTGGGTCAGGCACATCTTAATCCTTAAAGTGACATCGTTGCTTTTTAATTAACACTTTAAAGAGATCTTTTGCAGCAGATCTGCCCAATGCAATGCCTCATTTGATTTTTTTTTTTATTATTATTGTACTTTAGTTGAAGGTTTACAGAACTAACTTCTCATTAAACAGTTAGTACACATATTGTTTTGTGACATTGGTTACCAACCTCATGACATGTTAACACTCTCCTTTGTTCTCTGTTACCAACTTTCCTGTCCCCTCCTGCCTTCTAGTCCTTGCCCCTGGGCTGGTGTGCCCCTTTAGTCTTGTTCTGCTTTATGGGCTTGTCTAATCTTTGGCTGAAGGGTGAACCTCAGGAGTGACTTCATTTTACTGAGCTAAAGAGTGTCCGGGGGACTCGTTTGATTTCTTTACTGCTGCTTCTATAGGCATTAATTGTGGATGCAAGTAAAATGAAATCACTGACAACTTCAATCTTTTCTCCATTTATCATGATGCTTATTGGTCCAGTTGTGAAGTTTTTTTTTTCAGTTATTTATTTTATTGCACTTTAGATGAAGGTTTACAAAGCAAACACGTTTCTCAACAAACAATTAATACACATATTGTTTTGTGACATTGGTTGCCAACCCCACAACATGTGAACGCTCTCCCCTTCTCGACCTTGGGTTCCCCATTACCAGCTTTCCTGTCCCCTCCTGCCTTCTAGTCCTTGCTCCTGGGCTGGTGTGCCCATTTAGTCTCATTTTGTTTTATGGGCCTGTCTAATCTTTGGCTGAAGGGTAAACCTCAGGGGTGACTTCATTACTGAGCTGCAAGGGTGTCCAGGGTCCATACTCTCGGGGTTCGTCTCTGTCAGGCCAGTAAGTCTGGTCTTTTTTTGTGAGTTGGAATTTTGTTCTACATTTGTCTCCAGCTCTGTCGGGGACCCTCTATTGTGATCCCTGTCAGAGCAGTTGGTGGTGGTAGCCGGGCGCCATCTAGTTGTGCCAGACTCAGTCTTGTGGAGGCTGTGGTAGTTGTGGTCTGTTAGTCCTTCGGACTAATCTTTCCCTTGGGTCTGGTTGTTTTCATTCTCCCTTGCTCCAGACGGGGTGAGACCAGTAAAGCATGTTAGACGGCCAGATTTTTGTTTTCTTTATGTTGAGGTGTAATCCATACTGAAGGCTGTGCTCTTTGATCTTCCTCAGTGCTTTAAGTCCTCTTCACTTTCAGCAAGCAAGGTTGTGTCATCTGCATATCACAGGTTGTTAATGAGTCTACGTCCGATCCTGAAGCTCCATTCTTCATATAGTCCATCTTCTCGGATTATTTGCTCAGCATACAGATTAAGTATGGTGAAAGGATACAACCCTGACACACACCTTTCCTGACTTTAAACCTCTTGTTCTGTTCAAACGACTGTCTCTTGGTCTAAGTACAGGTTCCTCATGAGCAAAATTAAGTGTTCTGGAATTCCCATTCTTCGCAATGTTACCCATAATCTGTTATGATCCACACAGTTGAATGCTTTTGCATAGTCAATAAAACACAGGTAAATATCTTTCTGGTATTCTCTGCTTTCAGCCATGATCCATCTGACATCAGCAATGATATCCCTCATTCCACGTGCTCTTCTGAATCCGGCTTGAATTTGTGGCAGTTCCCTGTTGATGTATGTTGAATGATCTTCTGCAGTCAATATTTGCCCCAAATCCCTATCAACACAATCTATTCTAATAGTATTTTAAATATAAAATTTGACAGTATGATTCTACAATCAATTTAGAAAAATAGGCGACCCAGCTTCAGTTCCAGTCAGGACAGCGGGCTGTGAAGCTCAGATCCCTGGCTGCCCTGGTGCGGCACCCTCCCCCACATCATGGCTCGAAATGCGGAAAAGGCCAGGAAGGCCTTGGGGAGATTTCGCCAAGCTCGGATGGAAGACGGAAAAGGGAAGGAGTGAAGACCCTTTCTTGCCTCAAAATGTACTGAGCTGCCCAAAGCTGAAAAGTAGAGACGGTAGATTTTTGGAGAGATCACTAAAAAAGTAGCTCAAATTCAGAATGCTGGTTTAGATGTGGAAATCCTCGTGGCCTAGTGGTTAAGAGCTATGGCTGCTAACCAAAAGGTCAGCAGTTTGAATACACCAGGTACTCCATGGAAACCCTGTAAGGCAGTTCTACTCTGTCCTACAGGGTTGCTATGAGTTGGAATCGACTCCACAGCAATGGGTTTGGTTTTTTGGTTGGTTTAGGTGAATTCCTAATTTGTGACCTGAATGATGAAATTTAACGAACTGCTGAGAGAAAAAGGACACTGGGAGGTCCGGATGAAGGAGCTGGGTGGTTCTGACTATGGAAACATTGGCCCTAAAATGCTGGCTTTCAAAGGGAAAGAAGTCCTGGGAAATTGAGGTTACAAATACTTTAGAGAAGCAGAAGATTGGCCTCATGTCAGAGAACTATTTGAAAAAGAACCTCTTCCTCCTCCAAGAAAGACATGAGCTGAGCCCATGAAGGTGATCGATTTTGAGTACTACGGTTACTTAGATGAAGACGACAGCGTTTTTGTGCTTTGGAACAGGAATATGAAAAGAAACTCAGCCAAATTACTGGAAAAGAGAGAGAGGACCGGCTGGCAAGAGGAGAAAAAGAAGAGGAGCAGGAAGAGATCAACATCTATGCTGTCAACGAGTAGTTGTCTGATGAGGAAGGTGGCCAGGAACAAGGTGAAGATGGGCAGCTCAAGTTCATTGCTCATGTCCCAGTGGCGTCACAGCAAGAGACGGAGGAGGCACTCCTATGAAGAGGATGGAAGTCCTTCAGAAGTATGCAAGGGAGACCCTTCAGGCCCAGAGCGAAGAAGCCAAAGGGCCCCTGGAATACTAGGCCCAGCAGGGTGCTTCTGGGGGTCCAGGAGATCTTGCAGGAGTTCTTCCATCCTCTGCCAGCTCCATGTGCTAACCTGCTGCTCTGGGACTGCCGGCATGCAGGAAGTGTGCTTCTTTACCCTTTCCTCTTCTCTCACCTTGTCCTCACCTCATGTGCTGACCCAAGGACCTGGGTCTGTCCCTTGCCTCCTCCCTGGCAGATGTCTAGCTGCTCAAGATCTCAGCCAGCACCTTTGTACAAACATTTTGCAGTTGTATGCGTCCATTTATTTTTTGTTTGGAGTGTGTTAGGTTGCCAACTAGCTGCCTGTGTTTTACTTTGCCTTGTACAGGCATACCTCGTGTTACTGCGCTCCGCTTCACTGTGCTTCACACATACTGCGTTTTTTACAAACTAAAGGTTTGTGGTAACCCTATATTGAGCAAGTCTATTGCCGCCATTTGTCCAACAGCATGTGCTCACTCTCTGTGTCACATTTTGGTAATTCTTGCAATATTTCAAACTTTTTCATTATTATTAGATGTTATGGTGATCTGTGATTAGTGATCTTTGACGTTACTATTGTAATTCTTTTGGGGCACCACAAAGCGGGCCCATATAAGACAGCAAACTTAATAAAAAAATAGGTGACCCATATTGAATATTTTAAAAACAATACTGAAGGTCAAAGAGAGTAATCTGAGTGCTTGGGCACTTTGGCACTCAGTTTTTGGAGAAACTGTCAAAAGCTGTAAGTATATACCCAGACTTTGATCTAGTAATCCCACGCTTTCAAAATTTTTTCAAAGAAAAAAGAGCTACATGCAGAAAGGCGTTTGCTGTATCATAATTTTGTAACAGACAAAATGAGACACCATAAGTCAACAAACTAATGATTGAATACCTGTTGCATCAAGTTGGTAAAATACTATGTAATCATTAATATAAAGTAGGAAATCCAGATTACAATATGGCGGAATATCACAATGCATTCATTGTTAAAAGTTCATATAATTTTGTGTAAGTTCCACTTATGTTCAAATATGTAACGCCAGGATAGGCCACAAGGGAGCAAGGGAAATAAAAATGATGCTAAAGAGACTTTGCTCAAATAGTTTTAATGTTGTAATTTTTTATAATTTTTATTTTAGACACAGACCAGGAAACCTGTGGTCATGGCCAGTAATACTGTTTCTTCCCAAAGTGACTGCACGTCCACTCCATTTATTTTTCTGTTTCCGGATCCTAAAATTAGATGCAAAACTGAAGCACCGCACAAGTCATTCTGAATGGACTCTTGAGGCAGAGGGATGGGAAAAGGACAGGAGGACATCATGTCAGAATTCAGAGAACTGATTCCAGCTACTACTCCTTTGAGTCCTGTGGCACGCCACTAAATAGGGACACTTGTACCTCACACAGACTAAACTTGAAGATAGGAAAAGCCACGTAAAAGCTGAGTACAGTGTGTCATTGAGGCCGCCCATGACGGGGTAGAAAATTTAATAATACACAACAGGCGTTGTTGTTAGATGTTGGTTCCAACTCATAGCAGCCCGATGTACAACAGAACGAAACACTGCCGGATCCTGTGCCATGCTCGTGATCATCGTTATGCTCGAGCCCATTATTGCAGCCACCGTGTCAATCCATCTTGTCGAAGGTCTTCCTCTTTTTTGCTGACCCTCTACCAAGCATGATGTCCTTCTCCAGGGACTAAGTCCTCCTGATAACATGTCCAAAGTAAGCAATAAGTAGATATCCCCATTTTAGGCTTTTCCTACATTTCAGGAACCAGGGAGTCAAGAGCAGACATTGAACTCTACTGGAATGAAATCTGACGTGGCCAAAGCTAACAAAGCTGTGTCCAGGGGCAGACAGTGCTGGCCTCTAGATAACGCCCCCACCTAGTACGTCAGGCAGCGGCAGAGTAGACCTGCATGTGACAGCATGGAGATAAACCTGAGTAAGGAAGAAACTCTGACTTCAAAATTGAAGAAGGGAATTGAGGTATATAAAAACGAGATGAGGTTATATATATAAAAATCAACACGTGATTTTGTTTTAACCACAAGTATTTATTGATGGACCGAAGAATACAATTGTAATGGAACAATAAGGCACAACTGTGGATGAGAACAGTTTGCTATACAGCCAAAAGGGGGGAAAGCCATAATTTTAGGAATTTTAAATACGCAAGTCAAGGAGCCTCTGAAATACTTCCTTTTGATACAATTCCTATATTACATCATTTGATCACAAAGTCAGAGTGACACTTCCTAAAGAATTCATCACTCGTCTATACTCGAGCCACCCAGCCTGGCCACTCCCGTTCCCTAGCCCTTCCCCATCTCTTTGTAGTGGTATTCTTTAGCAATTCCCTTCCTAAAGAATTGTGTGCACATCTTAGATCACCTCCCAAAGCAAGGAAACAAGCAAGCATGCAAGCAATGAGTTAGAGAAAGTCAGCCAAGGGCGGATACACAGATGAACAGACTCATACAGACAGATGTTAGGGTGGCGGCAGCCTGCCTCAGTGAGGTCTAACTAAGCCGACTTCGGCAGAGAAGTTGCTCTGGCTCGCTCAAAGGCCTATAATGCCACTTCGGGTTGTGTTACCAATGGAGGCGTCTTGTTTCTGAGGGATAGCAGTGGTCTACACGGGGAGCTAGGAAGCCAATGTCACCAGGCAGCTAATGATACATTCAATGGTTTGGACCTGCGCTAGGTGCTGACGATGGCTTCTAGTATAATCACTTTCCAAGTGTAAAATTCACAAAGAATTTTGTGCAAAATATCAAGACACTGAGGACAATCTTTAAATCTCTTGGACTGCAAAAAGTTAGGCACTTCCTTAACACTAATCTTTCTACTTAGAAATGTGAAGTGAAAAACATTCCAGTGCACATAACACTGAAGCATCAACCATGCTGCAGAGCTGTGAATACAGGATGTTTACAGGGTGTCCGAGGGTTCTCAAAAAAGCCCAAGAAAGTCCCCAAGCATAGTGTCAGAACAGCCATTCTGGTGGTGACGGTGCCCCCAAACTAAGCAAAAAATCCAGGCATATGATGTCTATCTCCTGAAGAGTCAACACTGCACTAACAAGAGTAGTCACGTCGGGATGTATGTTGAGAATCAGAGGCCAGAGGTAGAATGACCTGGGCAAGCCACCTGGAAGACTTGGCTCTATACCTCTCACCAAGGCCACCACCTTTCATGAACATCTCCATCTAGCAGCTCTTCGATGACAGAGCAGAGGGCAGTGGACCAAGACACGTCATGTTCTTCTGAGACAAGGGCTGGCTACCAAAAAGCTGGAGAGGCACATCCCAGACCCACCTACAAGGGAAGGTAGATAAAAACTGCCAGACCACCAAACTATCCTGCCAAGTCAGAAACATATTTAACTGGCATAGCTTGGTGTGCCAAGTAGAACAGAAGGGATTCTGAGGCTTCATAAAAAGCAGGGAGACTGACAGACGAAGTGAAGGTATGTTGGGTGACAGAGAAGTAGGAAGCAAAGGACATTAAAAAAAAAAGGATGAAGGAGCATGCCGGAGCCTAGCTGGAGGGAAGGCAGCATGGCTGCCGTCGACATCCAATGAAAGAGCTTGGCTGGCTGGTACTTGGCATGACTCCCTCTCACTTTCTCAGGCTGGACGGACATGTGGCATTGAGCAGCACAACAGGGGAAGATGATACTTCTGAATGGAGAACCAGTACATGGATACTGAAAAGAAATGGGCTGGGTGTACCATTCTGCAATGCCTTGTTTACAACAAAGGTAGGTTTGTGTTGACAGATCATATCTGGGGGTCATGCAGCAGTAGTACTTTGGGAGAAGAGGATTGATGGGGTGGAGGTGGGGCTGGTGGACAGAAGGACTCTCAAGTTCCAGTTCTTAAATACTAGAAAGCAAGGGACAGTTTGGTCTCAGTCCTTTAGTGAAGAAATCGGATGCTCATTTTCTGTTCCACGTCCACTTTTTCCAAAACCTGGAGAAAAAAATCCAATTACAGTTATGAAGGTCACAATAGGAGATATTGTCCCCAGCTCTTATCTGCATAATGTTTTTTCTTTTTTTCTTTTTCCTCCCTTCTGTGCAGCAGAATTTAACTTTTTCAAAGAGGTGACTGCCTGACCTTAACAAATTCTGTGAAAGATATGGCGCTGTCCCCATCCTGATCGGCCTCCTGGATGGTCCTGTCTGCAATGCTGCCCAGCTGCTCATCCGAGATATTCACTCCGACCATCATGCGTAGCACCTGCAGGACCAAGAGCCAGGAATTACAGGGACCTGGGAGCCGATGAACTCTTCTACTAAGATTCAAGATAACTTCACCTCCCTCTTTTCCTTTGATGTCTGAAAACATTTAACAGCTGGAAAGGTGAAACCCTTATCTTCTTGTCTAGGCCATTCTAGACAACTTGAGCAGAAATCTCTGACGAAGTCATTGGATAGGAAGGCAAAGCCTCACTAGAGGAGAGTCCTTTGTATTTTGTCCTTCCCCATTCTTCCTACCCAGAATGTGATGGTTGGTGGCACAGCAGCCATCCTGGGACTATGAGGTTCCCAGACATCATCTACGTACTATACCAGCCCTGGACAAATCTTATTGCATGAGACAGACTTCTTGTTACATGACACAAATTAGTCCCCCAATTGTTTAAGTCACTTTGGCAGGGCTTCCTGGAATTCCACCTGAATGCAGTCCTCTCTGGGGTGGTGGAGTAACCCATCATTTCCTAGAATACAGTCCAAGAAACCCAAAGGTCTGCCTCATAAAGGTCCTAAACCCTCTTCTTAGAAAAGTAACAAGCATATTTTAAAGGGCTGTGGGAATTGGAATAAAAAGAATTTAACATTGTTTCACCAAACGTGTCCCAAACTTAACCGAGACCTTCTCCCTAATCCTGCTAACATCTTTGGGGTGTGAACATGCTTTGGAAATTGCTACCTTAAACAAAATGTGTGACTCTAACAATAAGACTCTCAGACAACATGCAAAGGGGGACAGGAAGCTTTTCTTATGTCTTATGTCACTAAAGTCAGCTTCCTCTGTTTTCAAAAGGTAAGAGCTGAGCTTCTCCATAGGAAGCCCAACTGCTCACAGGCCTTCCTCCCTCTCCAATCTCATGGAACAGATTTTTAAAAACAAGTTACAGGATTCTCAGAAAGGAAAAAAAAAAAAAAAAAAGAGCTGAGATACCGATTTGAATCAAAACTAGTTATTTAAAAAACCAATTCTTGAAAAGTAGAGGCTGTTTTTAAGAGGTAACAATGTACACAAGTAGAAGAATTAATTAAGAGACAATGCTAGTGGAAACAGTGAATGGCCAAGCCGTGTGCCACCTTCCCTGCGTGTGCGTGGCCAACCAGACAAATCCATCTTCCAACAGAGCTTCATCAGATCAAGTCCAATCATTTTCTGAAGTGCTTTATTTTTAGAATTATAGTACTGTATTGTGCACGTGGGTCTGTGTGTGGGGGGAGAGTGGTGTCTTAAAGATCACCTGGTCCAGGCTATTCATGCCGTCACGGGGGGCCCAGAAGTGATTTGACCCAGGTTCCAGCCACCAGTGGCGTGGAGTCTCTGCCCAGGTTCCATTCCCAACGTAGTGATTTTTCTACCTCTTCGCGTTGCTGCTTATTGTTCCAACTGGAAGTTTATTAGCAACCAGGACTTTTTATTACTATTTTATTTTAATGTTTGGTAAGGGTTTTCATACTACCCTTTATTAGATTAAGAAAGCTTCCTTCCCTTTCTAGCCTTCTAAGATTTTTTAAAAAATCATGAATCGATGATGAATTTTATCAAATTTTTTTCCTATGGCAAAGATCATTTAATTTTTCTTCTTTTAAATCTGTTAATGTGGTTAAATACACTGATTTGATTTTCTAATGTTAAACCAATCTCGAATTCCTTGTATGAACCCACCTTGATTCTAACATAGCATCCTTTTCATATATTGGGGGATTCAGTGTGTTAATATTTTGTTTAGGATTTTTGTGTCTATGTGAATGAGACAGACTGGGCTGTGGTTTTCCTTACTTGTACTATCTTTATCAAGTTTTCATATCGAAGTCATGCTGTTGTTTTGTGTGCCATCAAGTTAATTCTGACTCATAGTAACCCTAAAAGACAGAGAACTGCCCCATAGGTTTCCAAGGTTGTAATCTTTTTCTTAATTTTTATTTCTTTTATTGTACTTTAGATGACTGTCTACACAGCAAACAAGTTTCTCATTAAACAATTAATACACATATTGTTTTATGACACTGGTTGCCAATTCCAGGACATGTCAACACTCTCCCCTTCTTGACCTTGAGTTCCCTATTACCAGCTTTCCTGTCCCTTCCTGCCTTCTAGTCCTTGCCCCTGGGCTGGTGTGCTCATTTAGTCTCATTTTGTTTTATGGGCCTGTCTAATCTTTGGCTTAAAGGTAAACCTCAGGAGTGACTTGATTATTGAGCTAAAAGGGTGTCCGGGCATCATATTCTTCAGGGTTTCTCCAGTCTCTGTCAGACCAGTAAGTCTGGTCTTTTTTTGTGAGTTAGAATTTTGTGCTACATTTTTCTCCAGCTCCGTCCAGGGACCTCTATCGTGATCCCTGTCAGAGCAGTCAGTGGTGAGAGCTGGGTACCATCTAGTTGTGCTGGATTCAGTCTGGTGGAGGCTGCAGTACTTGTGGTCCATTAGTCACGTGGACTAATCTTTCCAACCCAAAAGCAAGGGACACTATCCCTATGATGTGCAAACTTGGTATTTCTATAGTTCATTTTATATGGAAATAATCAAGTGAAAAAAATGAAGGCTCTTTTGATATGTAAAAAACACAGGCATTTCCTGTGGCTTTCCAAAGAGCCAATGCAATCAGACAAGAAATAATGAACAAAAGCTATTATTTGGAAGAGAGATTATTCTGTTGCTATTCATGTGTAATCATTACCCTAGAAATTCAAAGGTTTAATATCCATTAAAAAATAATAAGTAACATTTATGTGCCAGATGGTTTACCTACCATTTTGTCATAATAGCAGTACTGTGAAGTAGTTATGTTTAATTGTTCCCATTTTATAGACGAATAAACTGAGGCACAGTTTATCCAAAGTCATACAACTAGAAAGTGACAGATGTGGGATTTGAACACAAGTAGTCTAGCTGTCCAGGCTATGCCTTTTATCACTATACCATATAAATTCAATAAGGCAGCTAGGAATAAATTATACTTTAAAAGTGAGAACTTTCACATGCATCAGCAATACCTAATTGAAAATATAATAGAAATATTTTATTTGCAGATTATAAATTTATAAATGTACATGATAAAATAAATTTAAAACCACACACACACACACACACACACACACACATACAAAAAGCAAAGAACACTAACTCCAACCTGCAGACATTGTGTCTCAGACACAGAACTGTAAGAATAATTTGGGTGGTTCTTAATCCGGCCTGAGTAATCCTCAACATGCAAGACTTCTCAAGATATTGAATGAGTTCAAATTTACTTCAGGGTGAGTGGAAACCACTTTATTTTTTAGGTGTATCTTGAAATAGAGAAACTTCCCCATGCTCCTGAATTGGTTAGCCCAGGGTCCTCCATACATGTAACTGTATTTAAAAAAAAAGAAAGAATTTTCTCCTCTCAAACCTCTAGAAAGGGAAGAAGGTGGGAACACGAGAAGAGAAGGCGATGCTAATCGGATGAAATGCCAGTCGCTGCTAGCAGGAGGCCAGCCGTGCACCTGGAGCACCGAAGGACAGCGAGCAGTAAGCTCAGTGTCCACAGCACTGCAGCAGTTGCCTGACTCTATGTCAAGCCCAAGGACAGAATAATCAGCAGCGTTTTCCTAAGTAACCATCAGAGCTACCTGGCTGCCAACAAGCCGGTTTGACAATAACTGAACTATTTGATCTAAACCATCTTGCATACTTTAGTTCTGCCAGTCGGCACGTAAAAGACATGTAGCTGGCTTTTAAATAGCGGAGATACTATCTATCTGTGAGAACTCAACAGGCGATTTCAAGCTTCCCAGGTTATCCGCTCTGCGTTCTATGGGGACAGGACTCTGCACCCTGCAGGTGTTAAAGGCTTACTGAAGGAAAGAACTATTTCTGCCCATTGAATAAGCAGCCAGGGCTCAAGCACAAGTTATCCATCTGCACACGAGCCCTCCCACATACCTGTAACAGCTCATCACGGGAGATCTTGTCATCTTTATCCAAATCATACAGTCGAAAAGCAACTGGTAGGGAAAAACAAGAGTTAGTGGAAATTCAGTAGTATTTTGCCCCTTCTCAGGGAATGAAACATCTATAGAACACTAGACAGAAAACCGATAGCTAGTTAATAGATTTTCCATAAATAACTGCCATTACTTGCAGGGCTTTTAAAGACATTTGAACATTTATGAAATAGAGATGCATCTCATAATTGATGGCATCTGCAATTTAATGAAATATGCTCATCCTCTCAGCAAAACAGAAAACTTCATGAAAAGAGAAAGCTGAACGTCCTTTTTATTATGCTAGGATGTTTAAGGAAAAAAAAAAAACAACAATCAGCTTAAGCGGTTCTGGACGTTAGGTCCCTTCACACACCCCATCAATTTCACTGTGTACCACTCAGGGGAAGCCATACAGGCATCATGCCAACTGACTCTGCAAAGTATCGCTCTGGGAATATGACCTCTTTGCAAATTCATGCCAACTTTCAAGTAATTCTCTACCACTTGGGAGCCCTGCAGTAGCAGAGAACTTCAGTTTCAAACAAAAACGCCAAGAATTTGATGGCTTCCTGGCCTTACCATGTTTCTCTCTCTTTAACAATAGATAAGCCTAGAAATTAGGATATGTGAGAACTTTGCTCATGTCCCTGTGACAGAGACTTCAGAAGAATAAACACCATTCAGATGATATATACATTAATATATTGCTGAAGGGCTGCCCAATGAAGACTGTGAGAACACTGGATGACCTCATCAACGCCGGGTGAAGTCTTCTCACTGAGGAATGGACTGCCTTGGGATTATACAGCTGATTCTAGTGTCGTTTTGAGGCTTTGAATCACTTTGAGTATGCCACTAAGGTTACTGGTTTTCAATATGGTGCTACAAATGTTAAAAAGCCAAAACCACTGCTCCAGAGTTATGAAGATACACAGATTGAGACCCTGTACTCTAGGAATTCACTATGTAATAGAGGAGAGCAATACAAACTACTCATTTTACTATATTCTAAGTGCAAACACATCTGGAAATGCTGTGGGAACAAAGCATGTGGCAGACATGACTTCTGGTGGAGCTGTGGGGAACACCAGAGGAGAAGCAAGATTTGAACAAGGTCTTGAACGGCAAACAGAACCGTGACAAGGGGTGGGGCATTCCAGGCAGAGCTATTACTATGTACAAAGGTGTGATAACATGAATGAATACCTAAAAGTTTAAAGATCTTCCCCTGCTGACCTCCCCAAAACAGGTGAGTCTACCAGGAACTGAAGTAAAAACTATAGAAAACTTACTCTTTGTATCAGATGCTGGAGGTGGGGAATAACTGGGAGAAACTAACCTTCTTTGGTATTTGTCTGTTCTCTGTAATTTGGTTAGTTGAATAACTATCTTTACCAAATTTGAGAATTTAGATATTTAGGGGGTTTGGATCCCAAGGAAAAAGACACAAGGATCATTAATGTTCCTGAAGGAATATGTGTTTAATATATTGCCAAAATAAACTATACTCTCTCTCACTTCTGTGTATACTGCTGGGTTTCTAAATTATCATAAAATGTACCATCTACCTACTAAGCAATCTTTAGTACGATTACAGGATGGAAACCTGTTTCTGAATTTTAAAACTAGAATAAACAGTTACACCCCTTTCGGTCAAAGTATTAACAGAACCTGAGCTGCTAATTGTCGAAACCCAGTAGAGCTAACTAGAGAGGTCACCTGATGGGCCTTTCAGAAGGAACCCTGCAGCACCAGCTGTTACCTCTCATTTCTAATGTTGTCGTTGTTGAGAATATACACAGCAGAACAGGCACCAACTCAGCAGTTTATGCAGGTACGACTCAGTGACACTGATCACATTCTTTGAGTTGTGTGACGATTCTCACTCCCGTTTTCTGAGTTGTTCCTCCCCCACTAACATAAACTCACTGCCCCCTAAGGTTCCTATCTAATCTTTCGAGTTGCTGCTGTCCATCTGATCCCATATAGACAGATCTTCAAAGAGAACAATACTCAAGGTAGACATCCTTTACTAGTTAAGCTAGACTATTGTTTGGTTTCAAGAAGACTTCAGGGGATATTTTTGGTTTAAGGTTTAAAGATTATCTCAGGGCAATTGTTTCAGAGGTTTCTCCAGCCTCCATGGCTCCAGAAAGTCTGGAGTCCATGAGAATTTGAAATTCTGTTCTAACAGTTACTTCTTTTATTTTATTGTTCTTTAGGTGAAAGTTTACAGCTCAAGTTAGTTTCTCATACAAAAATTTATATACACATTGTTATGTGACCCTAATTGCTCTCCCTATACTGTGACAGCACACTCCTCCTTTTCACCCTCAATTTCCCATGTCCACTCAACCAGCTCCTGACTCTCTGCCTTCACATCTTGCCTCTGGACAGAAGCTGCCCATTTAGTCTCATGGATCTACTTGAGCTAAGAAGCACACTCTTCATGAGTATCATTTTATGTCTTATAGTCCAGTCTATTCTTTGTCTGAAGAGTTGGCTTCTGGAATGGTTTTAGTTCTGGGTTCTAGTAGTTACCTCTTAACTCGCTCAGATATTCCTATCAATTAGCTCTGGCCCTGAATCAGCAAAAATATCTTCTCCCAATGCAATGGTCAAATTCAGAAATTACTGAGGTCATCAGAACAGGTTCACAAATCCTTCCATCTTTCCACCAAATGTGCATCTCCAGCTTTGACCCCTTCCCTGAGCTCCTGACACTGATGATGGGGCAATGAGGAGAGTGGTTGGTCACTGGCTCTGCCAAGTGCTGGCTATGATGCTTACTGTGTGAACATGAGCAAGTTATTTAACCTCTCTGTGCCTCAGCTGTCTTCATTGCAAAATGACAAGAACAGAATCCACCTCGTAGGGTTGTGAGGACTCAGTGAGTTAGCACACAAAAGGCACTCTGAACCACGGCATGCAGTAAGTGCTCAATCAATACCAGTTATTTACTATAACCTCTCTGCTCTCTCTCATACCACTCCTTTCTTGAAAATGCTTCAGCCACACTGGATTTCACTGTTCTCTGAATACACCAAGAACTCGTTTCTACCCAAGGGCCTTTACACTAATAATTCTGTTTGCCTAGATCTCTCTTCCCCTGTTTTGTGCATGGTTGGTTAATTCTCAGCTCAAATTTCAATTCCTCAGAGAGGTTTTCAGCAATCACCCTTGCTGAAGTAGTGAAGTGCCCCATCACTTTCTCATCTTGCCTTGCTCATTTCCTTCGCAGAACTTACCACAATCATAAATCCTGTTGATTCATTTGTTTTCTTCTATATAGTCTGTGTCTCCTGTTAGATCATAAGCTCTATGAAGGCAAGGACCTTGTCTGGTGTTCATCACTGCACCCTGGGCCTAAAATAGTACTTGCTGTATCTCAAACATTTGCTTAATGAATGAAAGACTAAATGAATGATCTCAGTCAAACCTTTACGTTTCAATCATTGTTTCTTCTTGGCTATTCTCCCAAGTTCCACTTTACCATATTCTTCAACAACCAAATAAAATATCTTCAGGCATATTCCTTACTCCCCACATCATTATGTGGTATAAAAAAACTCAAGCCATATAAGAGGAAGATTACAATATGGAAAGATTTGGGAATACTTGTCAATATCCTGATGCCATGATGACAGGGAAGCTTGCAGACCCTTTCCTTACTATGAAGAGTGTCCCCCCAAAATTCACGTCCACCCCGAACCAACCTGAGAATGTGACCTTATTTGGAAATAGGGTCTTTACAGATACAAATAAAGTAAGGATTGAGATGAGATCATACTGGATTATGGTGGGCGGGCCCTAAATCCAATGACAGCGTCCTAGAGACAGAAAGAGACACACAGACACATAGGGAAGAAGGCTGTGTGAAGCGGAGGCAGAGACTTGAGTCATGCTACCACAAGCCAAGGAACATCTAGGGCCACCAGAAGCTGGAGGAGGCAAGGAAAAAGTCTCTCCTAGAGTCTCTGGAGGGAGCAGAAGCCTACTCAAAGCCCATCATGCAGAACAGAATTTACACAGTGAAGACCAGGGAGATAATTCAGTTCAAAGAAGGAAGAATTTTTTTTTTTTTTAAGAGATGCTCACATATGGCTAGGGCTGTCTCAGTAAAGGTTAGTAAATTCCCTGTCCCTGGATGTGTTCAAGAACATAGGAGATCTCGTAGATCAGTGCTTCTTACTTAACCCAGGGTCCACAGACAAAGGAGTCTATGAATGTAGAAAGGAAAGATATTGTATCTTTTCTTACAGCCTCTACTGAAATTTGGCATCCCCTTCATTTATGTATGTAGGCAACAAACTACAGCAGTCACAGCCCTTGCTGTGACTCTGACGCCAGCAGAAATCAGATATTTTCATTCCACATTAGTGTTTGCAGATATCTCAATTCATCATTAGTGCTCATTACTATTTCAAAATTAAGTTCTTCAATTCAATGCTGTATTTTGTTATTTAATGTATAAGGAAGCAAACATAATATGAAATCACAAATATGTTTGATTATTTTAATTGTATTTCAATACAGTTGGTTTCCTTTATAATCCTATGTATTTTATTTTATGCATTCAAAAACATTATTCTGAGCTAGGATTCACCAGAGTGCCAAATGAGTTCATGGCTCAAACATAGTAGAACCTGCACTGCAGAAGGGACTCAGGTAACAGACTTGCGTTAGATCTGATGACCTCTAAAGTCTCTTCTAATCCTAGGATTAGAAAAGCAAGCAGATTTTCACAGAGTATTTAACTGTTTTCCAATTAACCAACTCACTGGATTCACTCCCTTTACTACTATGCTATCGTAACAATCGTTCAATCAATGAGTAAATACATGATTTCTCAAAAATGAAAAGCAAATATTGTAAGCCAGAAGACGTTTGCTCCTTACAGACTTTCCATCCCCTCTGCAAATTGTTCAGACTTATTCGGCTGCATACCGAACATCTGCAGCTAATGGGCACTTTTGAGTATCCACTCCCACCTGTGGGCTGGATGCTTACCAAGAGTCAAATGTGTCAATGGTCCTAAGATTGTTTATGATGTTTGTACTTTTAATAAAACTATAAATTATTATTTCCATGTAAATCAGATCGACTACTTCTAAAAGACTCAAAATTAAGTTACTAAAGCAAACAAAAACTGCTGCTGAAGTAGGTGTGGGCAAGACAATTGTGAAGGACTGAGGAAACGCACGAATGAGGAAAAGAACGTAAACACCTAGAAAGATTCGATTCTCAGGATGTTTACAAGTATCTCTACGTTCTCTTTCCACTTAAAAGGAACAGCCAACTAGAAACCTCAGACTCTACATTATAAATGTGTTTTATATAAAGAGGTCACACAGCTCCCATCAACAGACTTATACTAAAACAAAACAAAGCAACCTCAAAAAACCCTTTGGCCCTACATCAAAAGATTAGCAAGTGAATGCTTTAAAATATTTTAAAGTAAAATAAAATGCTAAAGCATTAAAAAAAAAAGATAAGCTATGTAACCTTTTTTGTGATTCTATGCTATAGCTGACCTTTTCAATTACTGATCAATTCCTGGTCTGACAGCAGAAATAGGAAAATTTCTGCCCCACCAATGCCAGAATCAGACAAATATGTACATGTGCTAAAACCTGTATCCAAACAAAGAAGGCTTTGCCTCAAACAGTATTTAGTCTTGAAAAAAAGAAATTGAAATTTACTAAAAAACAAATTATTCAATAAAACTGAGTATAATTCATTAGAGTTCTATTTTCTCCTATATTCAGTTCTGTTTGTACTCAAGTTTTCTGCTCTTAATCATGGGACATGATATTGTGGTAAAGATGGGCAGTATTTCAGTTTTTGGTTCAAGAATCTTTCCTGTCCTATATAATACTTATTTCAGTTCAAACTCTTGACCTAAAGTATCAACGGAGGAATGTGAACACATACCTCTATGTCTAGGGAGACCTAGAATATAGCCCAAGGGCTATAAACTAAAAGTTTAAGTCTCATGTACTATCTTTCATATATATGTAAATTTTCCATTATAGTCTACAATTTTTATGTCATTTGTTTAAATATTAAAAAGCCTTTTGTTATTCTCTATATCATCAAGTGAAAACCTGATGGGCCACATTTATTCTGTGGCTTCACATACCTCCCTGTATACCACTGTGCACCTTTGTAAGAGAAGCCTGGGCTCTATCAACTTAATACAATTTCAATTTACTTTGAGTGAAAAGAGAAATTCAATTTCAATTCCCTGGAGAAATGCTGTAAAGGATTGGGCAATGTCACACACGACCCAACAAGGGCAGAAGGGAAATCTAACAAGCATCTAAGGAAAGGAGACAAGAGACCTGGGGACAAAAATGAAATCTTACACTGATCCAGCTGTCCACCCTTACTTAAATCACATCCAACATCTATTAAATTCTAAAATGGGCTGAGGGTTGCCATTATTCCTGATGGGTGGGGACTGGGTCTTGTTCACTGTTGACACTCTAATACCACAGTGCCTAGTGCACAGATGTCCAATGAACTATTGATAATAGCAGCTAACATTTAGTGAGTACTTAGAATATAACAAGCACTGTTTGAAGCACTTAACATGTATAATCTTATTTAATCCTCACAACAATCCTATGTGGACTCTCTTGGTATTCCATTTTACAGACGAGGAAACTAAGGCTCAAAGATTTTAAATAACTTGTCCAAAGTCACATGGCCAATAAGTAATAAAGCTGGAATTCAAAGCCAGCCAGTCTGACTCCAGGGACTGCGTTCTTAACCATTATGCTATCGTAAACACGTGTTCAATGAATGAATGAATGAGTAAATAAATGATTTGTCAGAAATGAAAAGTAAGTATTTTAAGCCAAAAGACCTTCATTCCTTACAATGCAGTTTGTTGCTTCGGCTGTTAAGTGGTTCTGGTCCATTAACATCTTTGCTCTTTTCATTATCCTCAATGGGTCGGAAATGAGCCAAAGTTCTCATGAATCCACGGAAGTTTACCTGGTCCTCTCTGATTAGGAAATATAACAAACAAAATACCACGTCAATCAGGGTATATCAATCAGGGTGATCATTTCTTATGAATTCAGTGTATTAGTGACAAAGCTACATTAGCTGAAAGTCCATTTAATAAGGTTTCTTTCTATTTGCATGGTACTTTAGGACTTATAAGGAGTAATGGTAGCTCAGTGGTTAAGCACTAGGCTGCTAATTGAAAGGTTGGTGGTTCAAACCCACCAGCTGCTCCACAGGAGGAAGATGTGGCTGTCTGCTTCTGTAAAGATTCCAGCCTTGGAAATCATATGAGGCAGTTCTACTCTGCTCTATAGGGTCGCTATGAGTTGGAATTGACTTGACAGCAATGGGTTTTAAGACTCATGGAGTTCCAGGGTGGTGTAAATAGTTAACATGCTCAGCTGCTAACCAAAAGATTGGAAGTTCGAGTCCACCTAGAAGGACTTTGGAAGAAAGGCCTGGCGATCTACTTCTGAAAAATCAGCCACTGAAAACCCTATGGAGCACATTTCTACTCTGACACACGTGGGATTACCATGAGTTGGAGCTGACTGGACAGCAACTGGTACTGGTTAAGACTCATAAAATACCTTCATTTAAACCTTACCCCAATCTTGTCAGGTAAGTATTATTATTCCCACGTTACAGATGATTAAACAGACTTAGAGAGGTAACAAGACTTACCAGAGCCAGTGCTACCTATTGAATTTCCTTATATCTCCTTTCCCAAAAAGGCTGTGAAGTGGCCCCAGGGCTACACAATTAAGAGAGCCCGGACGCAAACTCACTGCCTCTGACTCTGCAGAAAGCAGCAAGCGCAGTCCTTTCAACCCACTGACTTCTCAACCACCTCCCAAGTCTCCCCTGCAGTGATATAGACACCTCGTAATATTTTCAAGTTAAGGCGTATTACAAAAAAAGTCGCTATCAAAATAAAATTTATTTAGTTGTAAAATAAACACATTATTGAAAATTTGGAAAAAAGAAAACCACTATCTCTAGTTCTTTCAATTAGTTAAAATCACTGTTAAAAACTTTAATGAATGAATAATCTGTTCTTCAGTATAAAAAAGAATGTACCATGTGATATAATTCGTTATTTATCTAAGGTAGTCATGGAAATAACAGGCTGCCTGGTTATTGTGGCTGCTTGAAAATAAACCCCAGTCTTTGTGTGCCCCATTGAATAGATGTGGTACGTGGGATCTCTTAAGTGACAGGTATACGCGCAGCTATTAAGTGCCAGGTAAACACCTTCTAAAGGTAGAGCTAAAAGGTTAGCTCGTGAGCCACTGTACTCAGAAGAATGACCTTTAGTTCTTCAAGGCAGTTACATAACTAATGGAGCAGTATCCAGTCAAAAGTATGAGTAAGATTTGAGGAATCAGGTAATGTGGAACAAGAGTTGAGTCATATTCCAGAACAGGCTAATCAGTACACGTATTAATGGCATAATGTCTCTGAGTAAAAGGTAACTGAATAACATTTTAAAAAAACTCCACCTGCAAATGCCTAGGAAAGAAACAAAAGCCCAGAAGCCAAATATCCAAATCTGGTTAGAGCAACAAGCAGAGGTGTGGCTTTGCTTAGAGATCAGCAGTGTCGCCGTCGGCTCCCCCATGTACACCCGCCTAGTTTCCTCAGCAGTAGGTCAGTGGATAGAATGGCAGGCAATACCGTTGTCAGAGCAAAACTGGCTTAGCTTTACAAAACAGCTTTCCATAAGCTGCTTTAAGTAATCAATGGTGACTTAAAGAATCCTGAAAAAATGTTGGCAAAATGACTTTACTGGGTTTGCAAAAGGTTTGGACACGCAGCATAGCTGTGGAAGTCATCTCTGGATATGTTTCAGTTCTCTGCAGGGGCTGAAAGAGGAAGCAGAGAAACAGAATTTGGCACAAAACCTCACCTGAAACAAACAGGGCAGTTCAGGGTGAGAGAAAGGGGGAAGTGAGGGAGGGTATGTGGAAACAGCAGGACTCGGCCTCATGTAAATCCCGTCTTTACGATAAACAGGCTACTGGTCTTGTCCCTTTCACTTGGTGTTGCTCAAAGTGACGGAGTGCCCAACTTCTTAACCTGCAAACTCCTTTGCTCTCAACTCTGAGTTCTAAAGTTTCCTCTCCACGCATTTTATCTGACAGAGCTCTTTTTTTTCTTTGATTTCAATTTTGTTTCTTTTTCTTTTTTTCATTTTTTTTATTGTACTTTAGATGAAGGTTTATAAAGCAAACATGTTTCTCAATAAACGATAAACATATCGTTTTGTGACATTGGCTGCCAACCCCACGACATGTCAACGCTCTCCCCTTCTGGACCCTGAGCTCCCCATTACCAGTTTTCTTGTCTTCTCCTGCCTTCTAGTCCTTGCCCCTAGGCTGGTGGGTCCATTTAGTCTCGTTTTGTTTTATGGGCCTGTCTAATCCTTGGCTGAAGGGTAACCCTCAGGAGTGACTTCACTACTGAGCTAAAAGGGTGTCCAGGGCTCATACTCTCAGGGTTTCTCCAGTTCTCTGTCAGAACAGTAAGTCTGGTCTTTTTTTTTTTTTTTTGTGAGTTAGAATTTTGTTCTACATTTTTCTCCAGCTCTGTCCAGGACCCTCTATTGTGATCCCTGTCAGAGCAGTCAGTGGTGGTAGC